AGCCCTCTCCTGTGTGTGTGAATGTGTGAGGCGGTGTGAGTGTGTGAATGTGTTTGAGTGTGTGTGTGAATGTGTGTTCCAATGTATGAATGTGAGAATGTGAGCATGAGTGTGTGTGGAAGTGTGACAGTGTGCGAATGAGTGTGTGAATGTGTTTGAGTGCGTGTAAGACTGAGAATGGGAATGTGTTTGAGTGTGTGTGTGAAAATGTGTGAATGTGTGTGTCTGAAAGCGTGAGTGCATTAGAGTATGTGAGAACGTAAGTGTGTGAATATGTAGATGTGAATGTGTGAGCGTGTGCATGAACGTGTGCGTGAGAGAGAGAGTACAAGCGTGTGTGTGGTTCAAAACCGAGTGCATACTGTGTTTCTTCAACGGACAAGCTTTTGAAATCATCACGGAAATAGAAAAGCGTAAAAATATTTCTTAAAAGATGATAAAAATGACCAAATAGCGTGAATGTTCCTCTTCCCTGATACAATCAACAGATGAGGTTTTTCTTCTAGAACTCTTGTGTGGGCTGACATTTGAAAGGGAAGAGAGTTCTAGTGGATGGGTTTAACAAGCAAGCCCTTCCTGAACTTCAACGCAAAACTTCCTGATGCCGTCAGCTGAGCCGCTCACAAAGCTGAGCCTTACAGGCATCTCCCCAGCTTTAACAGATTCAATGCGGAGTCCTACGGGCCCCTGTGAGGGCCCGCCATCAGAGGAGGTCTCCTAGAACCTCTGCCCACCTGTGCTGGGTCCCTGCCGGCCACCCTGCACTCTGAGGATCATGTCACTGTGTCCCTCACCCACTGTCTACAGGTGGTGGCTAGCAGACTGGTTTGTGGGTGCAGGGGAGGCGGCCGGGGCACTCACCTTCAGCGTCAGGCTCAGCCACGTTGACCACACTGTAGAGCAGGCTCCCGTCACCGTTCTTCTTGAGGTAGCCCATCTGCAAGGGAAGCGTGGCTGAGTCACCCAGTCAAGGCCGCACCAGGATTTCTGCGGCAACACAAGAGGAACAAAGGCCAGCAGGGCAGCCTGGCACAGACAAACCGACGGCCACACAGGTAGAGCTCTTCTCTCGCCAACACGCCCAGGCTCAGCTCAAGACCAGCCTGCAGGCGGCAGAGCACAGGTGTGTGGCAGGGCCTTTGCGCAGACTCCTCGCGGCCCCGCCTGGGGCCCTCGGGGAGCAGAGTTCACCGACACAAACGCCCGGCAAGGCTCCTGGGCCTGAACCAACGGAGGCTGGAGCAGATGCAGCCAGGCAGCCCCATAAACAGCCCGGGCATCCCCAGCACTGAAGCTGACTTCCGTTTAGAACCCAAACCAGCCAACCAGCCAAGCCCCTCCTGCTATCCTGCCCGTCCACAAGCCATTAGCAGACCCAGGAAAGGAGACAGATGTGTGTGTGTGTGCGGGGACAACAGGAAGTGTGCGGGAACAGCAGGCTGTGTGTGTAGAAAGGACAGTGGGGTGGGCATGTAAGGACAGTGGGGACAGCAGGTGGGTAAGGACAGTGGGGATAGTGAGGTGGGTGTGTAAACAACGGGGTGGGTGTGTAAGGACAGTGAGGATAGGGGATGGATGTGTATGGACAGTGGGGACAGCGGATGGATGTGTATGGACACTGGAAACAGTGAGGTCGGTATGTAAGGACAGCGGGGACAGTGGAGTGGGTGTGTGGGGACAGTGGAGTGGGTGTGTGGGGACAGTGGGTGGGTGGGTAAGGACCGCGGGGACGGCGGGGTGGGTAAGGACAGTTGGAACAGCAGGTGGGTGTGTAAGGACAGTGGGGTGAGGAGGGCGGTGTGCAGAAGTGTGGCTGGGCACAAGGTGAGGAGGACATTTATGCAGGGGACAGTGGTGGTGCCTGGCCCAGGTGCTGAAGCCGGACAGAGAGGGTGGACATCTGAGCAGAAGCCGAGGGGCAGCTGGGTGGATCAGCTATTGATCAGGAAATGAGCAGACCAGGGTGACGAGGCGAGGCCTCGGACTGACAGCGTTAGAAAACGAGGGGAGGACATGGCATAGCCCCGTGGTACTGGTGGAGCAGGGGTTTCTGTGTGGACGCGTGTGATAACTGCTCTGACAGGGCACAGTCTCCGGGGCACATGTGCTATTGTACAGGTAGACGGGTTTCCTCCTACCAACTGTGTGGACGTCACGGGGCATGTGTCCATGGCGCCCCCATTCCTGGCTGTGTCTTCTGAGAGGGCCTGGGCAGCACCCACTGTGTCCTAACACTCTTCCCTACCGAAGGGGGCAGGGCCCTGGAGCAGGAGTGCAGGACTAGAGCACAGGATGGGTGTGACCACGTGACTCGGGGCTGGGGCGCAGGACAGGTGTGACCACGTGACCCAGGGCTGGGGCACAGGACAGGCGTGACCACGTGACCCAGGGCTGGAGCACAGGACGGGCGTGACCACGTGACCCAGGGCTGGGACACAGGGCGGGCATGACCACGTGACCCAGGGCTGGGGCGCAGACAGGCATGACCACGTGACCCAGGGTTGGGGCTCAGGGCGGGTGTGACCACACGACCCAGGGCTGGAGCACAGGACGGGCGTGACCACATGACCCAGGGCTGGGGTACAGGGCGGGCATGACCACGTGACTCAGGGCTGGGGCTCAGGGTGGGTGTGACCACGTGACCTGGGGCTGGGGTACAGGGCAGGTGTGACCACGTGATTTAGGGCTGGAGCACAGGACGGGTGTGACCATGTGACCCAGGGTTGGGGTACAGGGTGTGTGTGACCATGTGACCTGGGGCTGGGGCTCAGGGAGGGTGTGACCACATGACCTGGGGCTGGGGTACAGGACAGGCGTGACCACGCAGCCCTGGGGCTAAAATGCAGCCATGCAGTCCATTTTAAGCTTCCTATCAGCACGTTTGTAGGAAAACAACAGGTAAAAATCATCTCCGATAACTTTAACCCAACATACAAAAAATCTCATCATTTTAGTACTCTTTACATACCATTCAATATGCCCCTTAAAGATTTAGCACGCAAAAAGGAAAAGTTAAATGAATGTTTTCTTTATACTGCCTACTTCAGTGACATCACTCCAATACAACACATCATAAAGGCCGATCTTGCCCATGTCTGTAACTTTAATGGCAGCTAGAACGTTACACTGCACCTGTGACTTGCGTTCCAA